CATGACCTGAGCCGAAGGCAGACGCTTAATGACTGAGCCACCCAGGTGCCCCTTTAATGTCTTATTTTTATAACAGCATTGGGCTCTGGAGAAGCCCATTGTTAAGTACTGAATGAAAAATGAATTTCCTTGTTCCTCTCTCTCAGTACAAAATACTGTAACAGCTTTATATGTATTCTCTCTCATCCTCAGAGGAAATGTGCAATTCATCCATAAGTCTACCCTCCCTTAGGTTCTGGATCAGGTGGCATTTTAGTGTGTGAGTCAGGCATTAATGAAATAAAACACACAAATAAGTATGAAACTGCAGCCTTGATATATGCCATGTAAAGGAGACATTGTATAAAATAAGAATTTAAACAGGGAGTTTCCCCTGGGAATCAAGAATCTTCTTCTCTTACATCAGCTTGAAATCATGTATCTAAATGCTAAGAATGGAAGATCCCTTTAGCAAAGTATAACATTACACTGAGGGACAAATCCAAGTTCCCAAACTATTAAGTTTTGATTTCATCCATTTTTACTTTTATTACCTAGACTTAATGTTTCAGGTATTATACCCTTTTTCATTTTAACGTGTTTTCTTTGCTTGAATCCCATCAAACGATTAAAACTAGGCTTTCTTTTTGTTAGCATTTACCTAATATCATTTTATCCTTTTTACCCTTTGAATCCCTCTGTTTTAAGGGGTCTTTCATATAGCGTCTAGCTGGGTTTTATTTTACGGCCCAATCTGAGAGCAGGTGAGTTTGCGTTTATTGGCATAACGGATATAATTGGTGTGGACGCCACAGACGTGCCTCCCTCAGATCTGCCTTCCAGAGAACCTGTCACGGGGAGTATGGTGAAGTCACCTGCGTCTCCAGCCACTCCGCAGTGTTCACACGAACCCGTGGCTCCCCGGCCCGCCCCCCCCCACCAGGCTGCTCCCAGCTGGTGACCTAGCACGGCGGGGTGTTTGAGCCAGACCAGGCTGGCTCGTCTTGCCTCACGGGGGACTCCCAGAACAGGCCGCTTTGGCTCAGGGATACCCCATCAGCGCGGCTGAAACAGTCTCACAACCCTACCGCAGCTCTCCCTACGCAACCCTTCCTTGTCTCCTTTCCCGGATGTCAGATGTGCCTCACGGTGTGCAGGCTCTCTCGGCCGGCCACCACCTCCTTTCTCCTTCCTGCGCAGTTCCTTCGGTAGATCTCTTGCGTGTCCCGTCCCATGCTGGTGTCTGCTTCTGGGAGGACCCGAGCTGACCCACTTGGACCTAATACTCTATTTATCCACCAAGGTGAACCCCTGGCAAGGATTCTTGGGCGTCTGGAAGGTGCATTTCTGACTGCCGTGGAGCACATTTCTAACTTCTGCCATGCTTCCTACTGCTTTCCTTTGCCAGAACAGCTCTTTCCCCTCTCGGCTCTAGTCCTTGCTTTAGTAACTTGAGACAGTATCGAACGATCCTCCCTTATAAATAATGAGGGCATCAGCACACCCAGTACTTCTCCTCGCTGACCCAATGTCTATCTCCTGATTTTCGTTAGTTATAAAATTATTTTTAATACACCTAGTGATTCCTTTTTTAGTTTAAAAAATAAACAATATTTAAGCCTCTATGTATTGATGCATCAACAGAAACAGAGAGTTTCTGTTGTATTTATTGTATCTGTTCTAACACACATTGTCTTTCATACCCTCCCTGGCCCCTCCTTCAGAACATACACACACACTCACACAAACGTACCCTTTTTGTTCCTATTGTCAAAATACAGTCAATCCCCATTATTTGTGGATTTCGTATTTATGAATTCACCTACTCACTAAAATTTATTTGTAAACCCCCCAAATCAATACTTGGGGTGCTTTTGCTGTCATCCATGGACATGTGCAGAATGACAAAAAAATTGGGTTGCCCCACATGCCCACTCTCAAATAAGGTCAAACATGGTGACACCCTCCTTCTTGTTTCAGCTTCCATAACCAATGTCCTTTTCCCAGTCTATTTACTGCCAAGTGTTTTGCTTCTTGTACTTTTTCTTGGTGATTTCACCCTTTTATGCGGTCCCCAAGCACAATCCTGAAGTGCTGTGAAGTATCTTACAGAGAAAATGTGTATCTCAGATAAGCTTCACTCAGGCATGAGTTATGGTGCTGTTGGCCATGAGTTCAGTGTTATGAGTAAACAATATATATTAAATAAAATG